CAGATTCATTACAAATTCAACGAAAATATCGAATAAGACGCGAAGCAATAACACAAAAAATATTTAAAGAATCCAACATTATAACGGCAATCTATTCAAGTCAAGAAAACGGGCGGGAATGGGAGAGAGAGAGAGAGAGAGAGAGGGAGAGAGAGAGAGAGGAGCGAAAAAAGAGTCACAAAAAGCAAATAGTATGTGCCATTGACTCGGCAGCAACGTTATTAATATTATTATATCGTGTTCTCGTGTCGTTGTCAATCCATTTACCTGCTAGCAATCAAATCAAATTTATTCGTAATTCACGCACATCGCACATATTGTACGCAAATAAAAATTTATGGCTGATGCATTTTCTCGCCTGGCCATACCGTATGCTTCATTTTCATTTTCACAATAGCTTTTATTATTATTCTGCGATGGTACTCAAAATTTCTGTCATTTTCACGGAACAAACGGCAAAACGCGCGCGACCTACGAACCATCTCTGCTCTTTTTCTCCGGCTCACCATGCTCATCTCAGCAACTGTAGTCTTTCTCTCTCTCTCTCTCTCTCTCTCTCTCTCTCTCGCTCCCACTATGTTTAAACGTATGTTCCCTATGATTTATTGACGTATCGATGATGTATCTGTCATCGCAAATATTCTTCATTGCAACGCACGCTGCCACCATAGATCATTTATATGCGAATCAACCGAGAATGCATTTTGCAGCGCAAATACAAATTACAAAATGCGATTAGTATTCCCCACTGTCGGGGGCGCTAACAATAGACCACGCTAACAACCCCAATACCAAAAATTGAAGTACATTAGTCGGTTTTGAGTGAAAAATTGTCTTGACGAGATCCTCAGCTGGCACGAGCGAAATATCATGCAAATCCCGAACGAAGAAAACACCGAATTTCCTCCGAAAACTGTGAACACAAATTGGAACTGAAGACGAACAAAACGATTGTACGTTTATATATGCGTGTTTTGACTAGATTTCTTCTTCTTCTTTTTTACTTCATACGCTGTTCTTTATTTTTATTTGCGGAAACGTATAAATTTTTCGCCGAAAAGTTTTTCTACTTGAAACGATGGAAATTTGCTATAAATCATCTCTCGCAATGGTTTCGATGAAGAAATAAAAGAGTGAGTGGGATAGAGAGAGAGAGAGAGAGAGAGAGAAGGGAAAATGTTGATTAGTCTTCGTACGTGATCTTTACTACGACATTTGTACACGGTTAACATGTACATCTCCCGTTGTCTTTCGGGTGTATTCAGCAGCAGCAATGACAACTGGATCGATTGAAAAATATTGTAGGAGCAAGAAGAAGTTTCCTTTTGGAAAACGGTTAATTTTCCATTCGAGTCGTTGGAATCATTTCACAGGAGCATTCGCAACATACACAAACTGTCGAAACACCGAAGGGACTTGTGTGAGAGGTTGTTTGCGCGCGCGCTGTCCCTAAATTTAGGGTGTAGTGTCTTTTTATCGGTGGTAGTTGCAATATACCAAAACCATTGAAATGCGCAGCAACGCTTCAGTGACTCTCTTTCTCTCGTTTCGCTTCGTTCTATCGCCCGCTCACTCTTACTCGCACATTTCGATATTTAAAAAAAAAAATTCGTACCGAATACATGCACGCGGAGCGACACGAGTTGAAGGGAATACAATGACATTTTCATACACATTTAATTTCAATTTGTTTGGCATCGCATCAGTCGCACCTTGAAAACCGTACTTCCGAAATTATCGTGATACAATTAGATATCAATTGAAGGGAAATGCTGTTGAAAATTGAACTGAATTGGTGCGGCGTTCATTTATCAAATTCATTTCAGCGTGGTGTGGTGGTTGTTGTTGTCGTCCTTTTTTTCCAATCGAATAGGGAAACCACCACCAAATGCAGAAATATGCTCGGTCGGATCAATTGAATGATTTTTCAGGGAGAGTTTCATTCGGTGGCGTTCTTTTGCTTTTCTAGTAAAACTGAAAACGACCAAAGGGAATTGGATGAATGTATGAAAAATTAGGCATATTTAGCAGGCGTTTGTTTTATCTCTATCTCGCATATTTCGTATATCCTAACGAGCCCAACCGTTGTAACGAACATATTCACACTCAATGCGTATGTATGCAGCGCGTATGTGTATCGGTGTGTCTGTTTGTAGTACACATCCGCACTTATACATGCACAGCAATGAGCTTGGAAACGGAACGCGCGCAAAAATTCCGTCTCTAAGAGCCCGTCGTTGTGTTGTTGTAGATGATGTATATCATCCATCCACGAAAATTTGATGCATGTTTGTATTGCTTATTCATTCAGCTTCGATCCAGAAGAGGCATCGAACTAGTACGCACGATGTCGAGAGGCACGTAGCCAGCGTATTCACATTCTCAAATATGCACACCAATACAGTGACATTTTCAGGACGATCCCTTAAAATACATGTATAGATTGCGCGCCGTTTTCAGACCGTTTTGCGTTTACTTTCGCAAACACACACGCTCTCTTTCTCTCTCTCATTTCGCTTGCTACACTCGCTGTGTGTTTTGTATATATACACAATTTTCTCCCCAAATGTTGAGAAAAGAACACACCGAGAGACAGAGAGCGAAAGAGAGGAAGCGCGAATGAAAAAAGAAAAAAATAGAAAAAAGCGAGCGAATAAGGAATTATGGAAAAGTTGGAAAAAAAAGGAAGAGAGGCGCGAAAGTGAGTGAGAAATGGAAGTGCGCTTGGAGAAAAAGAGAGATAAAGAAACACACAGCAAAAATACCATTGCTTAGCATTCTCGAACAGTAATATTCGTCGATTCATTTTCTGTACGGGAGAAGCAGTAGATTTTTCAGTTTTGTCAACGTATCATCGCATTTTTGTGTGTGTTTTCATCAAACGGAAAACGGTTTTTCCTCTTTTCGAATTCATTGTATTTCCGGTGCAAGTTTATCATTTTAACGATAGTTCAATGTGATTTTCGATTGTTCAGTGTGCGGAATTCTTTTCGGCAGGAAAAGAAAACCAAGAGAAAAGAAGAAGAAAAAAGCGAAGAATCACCGTAATCACAAAAGAAACTCTGTAAAATGCCATCGCTGAGTATGCGTCCAGTATTGAAAGTCAGATCGTTAAATGCAAAGGATTGGTTGATTTGTCAGTTCGTTAGACTAGAAAATGGGTGTGAAGTGAATATGTAAGAATCATAAATAGCTCAAATCACTTATTTATTACCAATTTTCGCAGTTAAAATTGTAAGAAAATATTGCCAACAACACAATTGCAACGATAAATAGAGGCTCACGCGAATGAGGATTTTTCATTTCGAATGAAGACTCGAAATGGATGAGAATAAAAGAAATGAAGAAAAAATACGGAAACATAACATAGAATGCCTGCTGAGCCTGGCATGGTTAGTTGAGTTTTCGCAAAAACGAGTGACAAGATTACAGTGAAATTTTCACAAATTTGTTGAAAATTTATTCAAACGTCCTCCTCCCTGTCTTAATCTCTCTTACTCTCGTTCGTTCGTTCGCTTGCTCACTCTCTCTCCGTCTATCTGATTCGATTCTCGGTAATAATAAGACATGGGTTCAAAGAATGGTGGTATCATTATGGTGTGCCTTCAAGTTCCAGAGAGTATCCAAATGTTTTTGACTTCAAACGACCGCTCAAGAATATATCGGAATGGGTATGAAAAGTGTGTATGTTGTGTGCATCGGAGATGCGACAAAGTCAAAGTTAAATACAGATATATAAATATGTATGCCACAAAAACGGGAAAAAAAGAACATTTTGTTTGTTTTCGTCATGAAAGCCAAGTCATGCTAACGCGAAGTCATATTCTTTCACAGAAGTGATGGCAAGAAGCAAGAAATTCTATACTTTTTTTGTATTCTTCTTCTTCTTCTTATTCGTTTTCTATCTCTCTCGCTTCCAATACAATGCAATACAAACGAGATACAACATTCCATTCCATTCCGTTCGTACGTTATCAAACAAGCAACCTTCTTAACATTGATACTCGTGCAATACATTAATAAAGAGCAGGGCATGCACACTCCACAATCCACACACATCTCGTACGCTCGCTCGCTCTTTCTCTCTCTCTCTTTCTCGCTCGCTCGTTCGCTATATATCTCTATGTGCACGTTTGGGTGTGTCGACGTCGTCATTATTGCCGCGCCATGGTAGTCAAAGAAATTTATCACATTCAGTGGCATAACTCCGAGTCGGTGTATTTGCATCATTCATATCTTTGTCTCGGCGGTGCTTGTGCTTGTGCTCTGGCAGGGCACATTTATCGGAATGTTTTTGTTTATTTGTTTGTGTCGCGTTTTTGTCAAGCAATTTCCAACATTGTTCAGACGGTAATATTCCCGAATTATGGAGCAAAGACGGAGATAGAGAGAGAGAGAGAGAGAAACAGAGTGAGAGAGCCGTCTTCATTCCACACACACAGAACACTATGGAAATGAAATGTAGTCGAAAAATCTTTCAAAATACAAACTTCACATTATTATCAACAAAATTCGGATATTAAACGCATATTTCGCGTGAGAAACGTAGCACAGGATGACAGCCAAATCATTCATTCCATGAAAACATGCCGTTACATCAAGACTTTGTATGCTGCCTTTCAATTATACATTCACTTGAGATATATCGCATTATGTTGAATTGGATTTTATGCAATGTTCAATTGCATCAAACAAAATTAAACATCTTTCTAAATGGTTATTGATTTATGAATTGTGTATGAGGGCGTAAAAGTGAAAGCCCAGCCTGTCTTTTAAAGCGTTCGATTCTGATTTTCACACAAAGTTCGGTGCTTTTTCACACAGGTGCTATCACTGAAATTAAAGCATGCACCAACCGTGAATGACCCGTTCAATCTGTTGAGCTCTTTGTATTCATTTGTTAGTTCAAATAGCGAGAAATATATGCAGAAGATAATTCAATAAAATTGAAGAAATTACAAAATTAATTAATATCGTGCGCTTTTGGTTCAATTTTGCAGATACATCGGTGCGGGCAGCGCTAGTTCAAGTTATACCTGACATTTTTGCGAGATGCATTGAAATAGGCAATCCGGAATTGGAATATTTCCTTTTCGATCGTATGCTCGAAATAGTGCTGCGATTCTTGAAGAATGAAGAGAACATGGTGAGTACACGATGAGAATGAGATCATAAAATATTTTATGATAAAATGGTCGATAAATGCGATTGATTCAAGCAATTTATTAATTTAAATGGCTATCAAAAACGTGATTTTTTCCGATTCTGTTTTTGTAATTAACAAACAATTTCGATGTTATCGGTGGTTAATTGTTATTCGTTTATCCATTCAATTTCTATAGGTTAGAGAGTCGGCCTTTGCTTCGATTAAAGTTCTCTTATTGAAAAAATACTTGAGCGCTGCACGGATCGAAGAGTTCGTGTGTCCGACAAGTGTTCAGTTACTTAATCTGGAAGGTTTGCCAGAGGATGTAGTCAGGGAGCGGCATCCAGATGCATTTGTGGTACGTATTAAAAACCAAATTGATTATTCCATTTTCCATTGCCACTATTGGTTTTTATCTATGTTTTAAGTATTTTTATCACTCACATGCGCATGAAATAGATCTTAAGTTTGAAAGTAATTTTGCTTTTTACGTCGAATTCAACATAAAAATGAGGAAGCAGCACATACTCTCAGAAATGATCATTTTATTTCCGATTTAAATGAAGAAAAAAAAATCGGATATAAAGTGAATTTCGCTCCTGATTCAAACAACACATCAATTTAATCCGAATTGTGTTGGTGGAATAACAACATCGAAAATTAATATGAGATACAAATCAAATAAAAACAACAACAAACAAATGTGAAGTACAAAATATTTTATATCGGCATACGTTTACTTCGAGTACGTTTACATCGCGCGGCCTGGTGTTGGCATTTTGACCACTAACGGTTGACCAAAAAATGTGTGTTGGCATCAAATTTGGCTGTATTAGTGTTGAATAATTTCTATCACAGCCAGCTTTGATGAGCAAAACATATTTTTGCTAAGCATCTCTCATTCGCCCGCTCGTTGGCTCGCTCGCACGTTTGTCGTTGTGTGCGCGCGCGTTCAGAATACAAATGTCCAGTTCAAGCGCACAGCATCAGAAGAGGATGATGCGTACACAGCAGAATAAAACTCAAAAATGCAGTGAATTTTCAGGTGTCATTATGGTGGTGTGTATGCGTATGTGGGAACCACACCGATTTTCATCAAAACAACAACCAATAACAGAATGCTAATTTCTGACTAACCTCTCAAACTGACTGTGAAATGCTATTTTTAATTGGGTCATATCACAGCCATTTGATGAGCTTAGTTGGAAATAATACCATCGAAGGATTCGTTTTTATTGTTATTATTTATGCAAGTATATCAAAAACAAATAAAATCAATGCATCTATAACATTTTTTTCAGCAGCAGCAGCAGCAAGCAAAAAAACGTGTGTACAGGCGTGCACACACACACACACACACAAACACACACACACATATACGAACAAATAAACAAACAAACATACTCAATCGAAGCAATCCATGGAAAATGGTGTCCATCTCTAAAATCATATTTCTGTTATCAGTTCGACAAAATGGTTGTGCCATGCTATTTAGATGTTCATATCACAGCCATTTTGACGAGTTTGATGGCAGATCTCTTTTTCGTTTTTGTTGTTCCTTTGGTTTTGTGTTGCCATTCGTTTTTTCGTTTCCATATTTTACCCATTCGTAATTTCTATCTTCTTTGTCTCCATGCAATTTGCATTTTCGAATCATAAATGCATACGGTCATTCCTCCGCCATGACTATTCCACTGAAAAATGCAATGCGAAATGGAGGATTGTGCTGCCTTTCAAAGTGGCTGTGACTTGTTGCATTTTGATATCCATATCACAGCCAGCTTTGAAGAGCGGTACGATTCTTTCTCTCTTTTTCTCTCGAATTTACGATTTTCTATTTGAAATTGGCTAAATATTTGTTCGTCGTATGAATTTCACATTATTTTCAATAGATTCATTTCACTTCGAAAAGAGTGAACTACACACAAGCTCCGTATGAAATATAGGAGAAATCAAACGGTTTGCAAATGTCTAAATCTCACAAAGTGGTTGTGAAATGTTTTTCATGGATATTCATATCACAGCCAGCTTTGATGAGCTTAGACTTTTAGCAATTGCATCAATCGACAGTTTGAGTAGCAACAACATGAATAAAATACTAAACCACATATTTTCATTCACTTTCTTTGCCGCATTCTAGTTCTAACCTTTATCTTATTTTATTTTAAGCGAAAAACCGTTTGTTTGAAGTGGTTTTTTTTGATTTGTATAACGTTCTTTTTCTTTTTGTTTTGGATGGTGTTTTTTCCAGATAATGGCTCTGCTTGCACCAATCATTGGCGCCGAGAAAACCCGTGAATATTTTTTAGATAAGTTTTTAGAGTTATGCACAAACGAAAACTACGAGGTTCGAAAAATGTGTGCCGTATTCTGTCCACACCTGTGCAAAGTGATGGGAGTCGACGTGTCGGAGAAGCATTTGGTACGCCTTATTGATTATTTTCAAATTGTTCAAGTTCACCCTTGCAACAAATCAAAAAGAAAAAGAAGAAGAAGAGAAAGGAAGAACGCTAACACCAAGCCAATTTTCGGTCCATTTTTTTTCTCTCACAAACACAATAAAATAGATTCCAGCATTTTTGAGACTTTGCGAAGACAAGGTGTGGGATGTACGCAAAGCAGCGGCTGATTCAATTCGCATTATCGCATTGTTGTGTTCGCATCCATTTCGACGGGACAAATTGTGCCCGGCCTTCTACAAATTAATGAACGATTCATGCAGATGGGTTTATCGGGCAGCATCAGAGAGTTTGGGATTGTTTATCTCTTCATTTGCGAAAAAGTGTATTTTAGGCGTTGCATATCGCCCGAACGGCGATCTCTATATACCAAATCCTGCAGATGCAGACTATAAGTAAGTGTATTTTTCGGCTCATTCATATAACCGTTTTTTTTTTTGTTTAATCAACTGGTCAAAATATCATCCTCCCCACCGTCCGGAATTGTAATGTGTCCATCTCTGATACCAATATCTACCCATTCTCTTTTTTACATCGTTTAGACAACATTCCCAAACTGAAATTCTAAGTAATTATGAGTCATACGAAAGTTGGTTCGAGAAATCGGCAACAGCGCCCGAATATCCAAAGAACTTTGTGCAACAACAGAAACAATTCAATAACAAAATTGATTTCGATGCTATTGTCAAGGTGTCACGCGAGTCATCTAATGAGAATCCCCATTTCTCCTTACCAGAAACATTTCACAATGCACTTTCCTTTCGAAACTACGACAACCATGGATTTTCATTGTCCATCACCAATTTGCTAGATACGTTTATCATTCAAAGTGAGCATAACAATGGGCACAGCCATCAGCGCATTCCACGTGGCGGTCATTTCGATTTGGCCAGCCCAATAATGGAACCAATCAATGAGTATCATCATTTGCGCAAAAATACGCCACGTGATTTTCCGATGATTGTGCGAAAAGCGATGGAAAAGCAGGAGGAGGATAACACCCGCAAGTTTACCATTAAAGCGAAAATACCGCGTCAAAATGCCGTTTCGTATATGCAAACATCGACACAAGATGATCGAGGCACAAACAGTTATCAATCGTTACCGCCACCACCACCACCGCCAGCCATTGGCAATCCGGAACCGGACACCCCAAGCATTGAAAATGCACCATCATCGATAGACTTTTCATCGGCTGTTAACTCAAATCTTAGCAATAGTTTACACAGTAACGAGACCGATAACGAAAACAATAAGGTGAACAACACGTCGGATATCAATTTAAATTTTAAGCCAGCCGATGAGGATGGCGCTTATGATGGATTCACGGCGGCCAACAATAAACGAGAGTCACGTGCAGCACGATTCAGTGAATCAAGCGGTTTCAGCAGTATTCCAGACGATGACGATGCGACCGGCAACGATTTTGATATATTGAAAAATACCGAAACATTTATGAATCGCATCAATACAATGCAATTGGACGACTACGATGATACCGATGATGATGAGCACAATTTCAACAGCAGCAAGGACTACGAAGACCTTGATCAATCATTCACAAACATGGGACTGGACGATGACGATTCCGACATCAATTCGAATTTAAACAATTCATTGGGACCAACAACCAAAACCGCTGAAGACGACGATGATGAGGAGGTCTTCAAAGAATTTAATTCACACCAATACTGGTACATTAGTCCCGATATACCAGTCGACATGGATATCCTTTTAGAACCCGAAGAAAAAAGTAAGAATTTATTTCCACCTAAATCCACTGAAAAATTTTTCTAACCCATTTTCCACTGTTTTGCTTCTGAACAGAAATGAGGATACAACTGGAGGAAGAGTTGGAGCTCAGACGATTCGATCGTGTGAAATTGATCAATTATCAGCCAAAAATCGTGCCAGCCGAACTTATAAAATATTTCGTGTCATTAGCTCACTCTCAGGACAGTCCTGTAGTTAATTATTATTGCGCATATCATTTTCCGGCTGTTGTCTTAACACTAGGAAGAAAAAATTGGCCCGTCATGTGCAGTCTGTTGCAGTTGTTATGTAATCATGGCATCGATGACATTCGAAAAACAATGGCATCGTCCATTTATCAAATTGCATTGATCATCGGTCGAAAGTTGGCCACACAAGATCTAGTGCCCGTGTATTTGCGATTTTTCGAAGATCAAGATAAGGTGAAGGTGGTTGCATTGAAAAATTTACCGAATTTCCTGACCGTGATCGATCGGCCACGATATGATATAATTGTGGCCGCCCTATCAAACTGCCTAGGTGAATTTTATGAAGCCGGATGGCGATTCCGCGAAGAATTCGCTCAACAAATTCTAATTTTGGTCAAATCATTCGGTGAACTGGCATGGCTGACGCATAAGCTCAATCTAATCGGAATCACCATCAAATTGCTACGTGATCGTGTTAATAGTATTCGTAAACTTGCTTTAGAAACGGTAAATACGAACGCAATCCATAGTTGGCCTAATAAAACGAAAAAACAGATATCGAAATGAAGTTACTCATCATTTTCCATTTCATTCTTACAGATGGTTGAAATTTGCAAGAAATTGAACGCTGATGAATGCGATGTCATTTGCACATTCTTATCGAAGCACTTTGGTTCAAATTCAAACTGGCGCCACCGGCAGATTTTCAGCGAAATTTGCCATCAATGGGTATGTATTTTACTGCTTTTATCTTGAATACGCTTTCAATTCCACGGTGGAATTTCCACCCGAAACGCAAATGTGTAATAAATTATAACTTTTTGGATTCCGAATTTCTCTCGTTTTACAACACAGATGGCACAGGAGACGCCCTTGTATCCAGACGTATTCAATGATCGTTTGTTCAATATTGCTTGCCAATTGGTGAAGGATCCAGTACCAAATATTCGAATGACTATTGCACGGTGTTTTGCATTGGTGTTGTCGAAGCAGCACATCGACACACAGCGATACAAAGTGACTGTCATAATATTGCGTAAAATGCAAAGCGATAGCGATCCTGATGTGCGAGACGTTGCATTATCTTGTGATTTACCGTCAAACGAAGACGAAAATAATGATGCGACGCGAAATTTGAGCGAATCATCAACCAGCAACACAAACATCTCAACCCTATCCACGGCGTCCACAGTCGACATGAATTGCACGGATGGCGGTATCAGTTACAAAGGCGAAGGTGATGAAAGCGAAGTATCGCAAGATAGCATTAGTTTATATTTGGATACCGACGAAAAGAATACAAGTATGTGAAGGTTTTTAGCTTCGTCCGACTACGACTTTTCCACACACAGATTGCTAATTACTTACGAGTAAATTCTCTTTTTTTTTTCAATTTTATTTTCGGTTTTTATTTTTCCGCCTCTCCGAACTAAACACACTCTCCCGTTTTCAAAATACAAACACACAAAACTGACAGGTAATGAAGAGCCTTCAATACCTAGTGAACCGCTTTCATCACAATAAACGAAGCAATCCCGAGAAAGAGAAAGAAAGAAACAAACAGAAAATCACGATAATTGTTTCCCCCCTAGATTATTATTTTCCTTTTAATCTTTTCTTTTTTTGTTTAAATTCCATTATTCTTTTCATTTAATTTAAGTGTTCTCATGAAAGCGTCAAAATAAAATGTGAAAGATTTCAAATACAACCTATTACAAAAAAAAATTTAAAAAAAAACATGTAGCCAAAAATTATGAAAAGAAATAAAAAGCAAATAAATGAATAAATAGTTACATTCAATTATTGAAAACATGATATTTAATATGCAATAAACGCAATTACCCTTTTACATACAGAACGGAATAGACGAGAAAAAAAATTACACACACACAAGAGAAGAAACAAAACAATATGAACAGAGATAGAGAAGAAAAAAAACACTGTGAAAATGAGTTGAAACAAAAAATAATGAGAAAAATCCGAATTTCGGGATCGAATTGAAATGAAATGACTGATGATATATAATTCTATATTTTACACAAATATTCAATTTATTTTTGTTCTGTAAAATATGAATCAATAACATCAAAATCCTTCATTAATCGGTTTTATAAAATGCATTTAGTTCTAAGTTCGTCAACTTTAGGACTGTGGTACTTATTATATAAATCACAACTGTTTGGGACCATGAATTTAAACGAATCAAATGCTTGATGCATGAAATAGCATTATGTTCAATTTTGTTGATTCATTTTGCATCCGAAGCGCCACTCAATAGAAGTTGAAAAAAATGAAAAATTAGAAATTTTGGCAAATTTTATTCACAATCCCACGAATTGGACAATGGATTGGCTCTTTTTTTATATAGAAGCTGCACACATTTTTTTACATTTCATAACGATGTTCTATATGTTTGTCCCAACAAATTAGCTTTTGGTTTCGTTCCAACGATCGACTGTTCGTGTGTACTATTGTTCAAAGTAAAATTCCTTTTTGCCAAATATTATCCACGTTTAGTGATTGGGTTCGTTGTAAACGAACACAATGATAGTGATTGAGTTTCTTAATATGGTCTCAATTCAAATGCACAGAAACACAAACCGTCGAGTGCATTCAGTTACCAAATGGCTTTTTCGCAAATTTAGCAAAAGCAAGAGGCTCATTTGAGACGATGAAGAATGATGTTGAAAAAGAAGAAAAAGCAATTCGTGGTATTCTTACGGCTGAATGCTTACAATTGAAGACTGATATCAAAACACTTCAATATTATAGATCGCTGTAATTAAATTTAGTAGAAAAAAAAACAAACAACAAATTGTATGACTTCGGTTCAAAATTCAATGAACTTTCAACGAGTAGCATTCATTTTTTCTTGAACAAAATAAAAAAGAAACATTCGAGAAAAACATATTCATTATTTCAAAGTAAAACATATTCATTATTTCAAGCAAAAGCGGTCAATCGATCACCGGTGGGTTTTTTTTCTAGGGAAGAACCTATCAATTGTCAAAGAAAGAAAGAAAGAAGTAAAAAAAACACACAAGTAACTCAGAACTAAAGCGTAGAACCAATAAAAATGCATCATCTAGATATGTTTGTTTTATTTTTTAGTTCAATTAGTTTTAAGGTGAGAACAATAAATGCGATGTAAAAAGAATGAATAAAAAAAAACATTTTTGTAGTTCGAATAAAGTATATAAAAAAAGGTATACATTGAAAATGGTGGTTTCCCTTAAACCTTATCTACTTAAGATTACCCGATGGGGAATTTTATAAGAAATGAAATTTAAAAAAACATCGACGTGATGACAACAACAATAATATCGACGAAATTCCGTCGCACTATATCTATGTGGAATGTTGCGATAAGTATGCTGCGTTAAACTCGCCGCTTCCATTCATGTATACAGTCGACGGCACGTTTTTCACCAAGTTCAGCAAAGATATCAGCGAGCGTGTCCTTCGGCACTTTCAGTGACTGAAACCAAAATCGAATCTCAATATAAATGAAGAAAGGAAAAGAGCGGAATTAAACTGGGTAACTAAATGCAATTACCTCGGTGAACGTGAGTAAAACTTTGGTTGGATTGCGTAGTTTTTGCCAGTTTGCCACATAGTCTTGATAGCCCAAAACCGTTGCAATGGATTTCCACTTGGTATTCTTGTTGAATATGGCGCTCAATTCGGTGAAGCAAATGTCGTCAAATTTCTTTTCGTCTACGCTACGATCCACTTTGCTCGATTCTGCCACCTTTTTCGTTATTGCGGACAATTTTCTTGTCTAGAAAGAAGAAAAAAATTTAAAATAGTTAACAAAACAATTCTTAGTTCTTCGAATTTCTTCGGAATTTCCGAATTTCGATAGCTTACCTCGGTTTTTTTGCTCGTTTCCTGTGATTCAAAGGAGTCTTTTGAGCTGGCATCATCGTCGTCGTCCATATAATGTTCGTCATCGATCAGACTGTGTCGCTGCATCAAATTCACCAAATCAGTGGCTTTTGCAACGCGCGCCAAATACAATGCAGTGTGACCGGATTTGTTCGTTTTCGATGGATTGATGCATTGGTTTTGTATCAAATATTCGGCCAATTCGCGAGCCTCTGACTCGATTGCAATGTGCAATGTATTATTGCCATGCTTTCCTTCGACATCTTCAAAGATCGGTTTTTTCGTTTGTGCTGCTTTCAAGTCTAACATTTTAACAACCTTCAAATTATTGTTCATCGATGCCAAATGCAACGGCGTGTAACCGTTATCATTGAGTACGCTCAAATCGATGTCCACTACTTTTTCCCATTTGTCTACGTCTGCAGTCAGTATGGTAGCGGTACATTCGTCATTTTTCTCTTGAATGGCCACATGCAACGCTGTATTGCCGTCTGCATCCATGGCATTCACATCAGCTCCATACTTGATGGCTTCTTCGAGTAATTTCGGCCGATTCATTGCACTGGCCAAGTGTAAACACGTTTCCTTGTTGTAGTTTCGAAGATTTAATAAATCATACAATTGGAATTTATGCATAACATCCCATAAACGATCCATTAGCCGGAGATCATCACTTTTTACGCACACGTGCACCATACTATCGCCGCCGAAAGACGCTTTGTGGAAAATGAAATCGAAGAATTTGCGGGCGATTTTTGAACGGTCCATGCTATCGCTGAATTTGAGCAACGGTTCAACTTTGTCCAGAAATTGTGAAATCCATTTCTCTTCCCTTGAAAATGACTGCGGATGATCGTCGTCAGTGCTAACCGAATCTTTGGCCAACTTATCAAATTCATTATTTTCATCCAATGTATGCAATAGCGAATTGAAATCTGTGAATTGGTTATGAAAATGTTTGAAGAAGATGGTCAGAAATTCATCATTGGGATGACAAAATCAAAAGGATTTTAAATTTTAAGCAAAATAGTCAACGGGTTTACACACCTTCGGGATTGAGTGCAAGGCTGTCGGTGAACAAATCGGGAAACATTTGCTCAATATCACTGTCATCGGACATGTTATCACTTTGTGGCACATAGCTATCGGGTGCAGTACGAACAAATGTATTTTCCGTCACAACGACCGGAATGTCGGAATCATAGTACGAAGCAACACGGGGACGTTTCCGATTGTTGTTCAAATTGTGGCACGGTTTGTATCTGAATTCGACTGGTTCGCTTATCGCTTCATCTCCCGGCCGATAAAGTTGTATGAAGACTTTTACCTGTTAATTCATGTTACCAGAATGACTTATGAATGAGGTAAGCGTTAAAAAGCTACAAGTTCTTTTAAAATTGTTCTTACACTTTCGTCAATGTTAGTTTTGCGATACGGTGGTGTTTTTAAGGCGATCGCATATTGATGGTGAACATCGGCTTCGGTGAATTTGCCCCAATCCTCCCAAATCACCTGATCATCATCCAGTTCAAAGAATCGAACTTTGATGTTTTCTTATTTTCCAAAAAGAAAAAAACAAATGTTCTGTTATTACCAGCAATATTTGGAAAAATGTTTTTTTTTTTCTTACTTTTTCCGACTTTCTCAACAAACATGAAAAGATCATCATTTCCAGCCGCACTGCCAACAACCGTGCTCATGCGGCTTATTTTCAATTCACCGGTTAATGCACTTTCTATTGCAAAAAATGAAATATTTCTGTTAAAAATCGAAAACTTGCTTTGCATTTCAATCGACTTACTTAAATTGTTGATTGGCGTTGAGAAAATGGGCTCACACAAACGCATCCATTTACCATTGTTGCGTTCGAATGCCTCAAAGCACAGTGATACCTGATTCAAATTCATATCGGTGGAATGTTTTTTAGCATTTGATCGTAGTTGGTCTTGTTCGTGTTTGGTCAGTTCTCGGCCAGCTTCAAATTTAGCTCTGGTCACCAGTTTTTCGTACAGTTCGTCTTCGATGAAGCGTCGTGCCGTATGAATAATTCCCATTCCTTGGAATGTCGCTTTGTATCCATGCAACTGAGAGACCATATATTCGTGTGGATCTTTTTTGTCTTCGTTTCCGCAACGAACGACCAGACTGTGTGAATGTGGAAACGGCATTTCATGGCCCGGTTTCATTATCTGATACAATGAGCATCGAATCAACGCTTCGCCATTGTAATTCCGAAGGCGAACCGTTGGAAATGTCTTCTTTGAATGTTGACCCGTCAACATGCCGTGTGTACCGTGCATTTCGGATTTATATCGAAAACGGAATTTATCAATCGGTTGTTCGGCAATTTCCAAAAATGGTTCATCCATCCTTGTGTTCATTGAAGTCACAAAGTACTCTATAAATTCGGATTTAAATCATTTAACAAAAACTGAAGTCGAAAAAAAATGGGTAATGAATGCAATGATTTTTTACCGTTCGAATTGGATGAGATTTGCAAATGTTGAAAATTGTACGCGCTGCTGCTGTCACTCTGTGTTGATGCGGGAGACATACTGTTGGATATCGGCGACATATTACCGCCCGATGACATCGGTGAGCTCATTGTGCTGCCGTACAAGTTAATATTGCCATCCGTATTCATTGAACAAACGGACGATGGTGATGGTGACGATAGAACTAACGGCGAATTCACTAAATACAATTGAATGGGCAAGCGGAATAATGAAACGTAATTCTGTTTTTAAATGAAGTGCCTCTGAGAAAATTTT